TGCCCATCGAGTCGATGATGCCATCCAGCCATCTCATCCTCTGTCGTCCCCTTCTCCTCCTGCCCCCAATCCCTCCCCACATCAGGGACTTTTCCAATAAGTCAGCTCTTCGCATGAGGTGGCCAAAGTACTGGAGTTTCACCTTCAGCATCAGTCCTTCCAATGAACACCCAGGACTTATCTCCTACAGGATGGACTGGTTGGCTCTCCTTGCAGTCCAAGGGACTCTCAAGAGTCTTCTCCAACACCACAGTTCAAAAGCATCAATTTTTCAGCGCTCAGCTTTCTTCACAAGTCCAACTGTCACATCCATACATGACCATTGGAAAAACCATAGCCTTGACCAGACAGACCTTTGTTGGCAAAGTAATGTCTCTGCTTTTTAATATGCTATCTAGGTTGGTCATAACTTTCCTTCCAAGGAGTAAGCGTCTTTTAATTTCATGGCTGCAGTCACCATCTGCAGTGCTTTTGGAGCCCAAAAAAATAAAGTCTGACACTGTTTCCACTGTTTCCCCATCTATTTCCCATGAGGTGATGGGACCAGATGCCATGATCTTAGTTTTCTGAATGTTTAGCTATAAGCCAACTTTTTCCCTCTCCTCTTTCACTTTCATCAAGAGGCTTTTTAGCTCCTCTTCACTTTCTGCCATAAAGGTGGTGTCACATATCTGCATATGCATATAAATAACCTGCATATCTGAGGTTATTGATATTTCTCCCGGCAATTTGATGCCAGCTTGTGCTTCTTCCAGCCCAGCGTTTTTCATGATGTATTCTGCATATAAGTTAAATAAGCAGGGTGACAATATATTGCCTTGACGTACTCCTTTTCCTATTTGGAACCAGTCTGTTGTTCCATGTCCAGTTCTAACTGCTGCTTCCTGACCTGCATACAGGTTTCTCAAGAGGCAGGTCAGGTGGTCTGGTATTCCCATCTCCTTCAGAATTTTCCACAGTTTATTGTGATCTACACAGTCGAAGGCTTTGGTGTAGTCAATAAAGCAGAAATAGATGTTTTTCTGGAACTCTCTTGCTTTTTCGATGATCCAGTGGATATTGGCAATTTGATCTCTGGTTCCTCTGCCTTTTCTAAAACCATCTTGAACATCTCGAAGTTCACGGTTCATGTATTGCTGAAGCCTGGCTTGGAGAATTTTGAGCATTACTTTACTAGCATGTGAGATGAGTGCAATTGTGTGGTAGTTTGAGCATTCCTTGGCTTTGCCTTTCTTAGGGATTGGAATGAGAATGGACCTTTTCCAGTCCTGTGGCCACTGCTGAGTTTTCCAAATTTGCTGGCATATTGAGTGCAGCACTTTCACAGCATCATCTTTTAGGATTTGAAATAGCTCAACTGGAATTCCATCACCTCCACTAGCTTTGTTCGTAGTGATGCTTTCTAAGGCCCACTTGACTTCACATTCCAGGATGTCTGGCTCTAGGTGAGTGATCACACCACTGTGATTATCTGGGTCGTGAAGATCTTTTTTGTATAGTTCTTCTGTGTATTCTTGCCACCTCTTCTTAATATCTTCTGCTTCTGTTAGGTCCATACCATTTCTAATCTTTATTGAGCCCATTTTTTATTGTAATGTTTTCTTGGTATCTCTAATTTTCTTGAAGAGATCTCTAGTCCTTCCCATTCTGTTGTTTTCCTCTATTTCTTTGCATTGATCGCTGAGGAAGGCTTTCTTATCTCTCCTGGCTATTCTTTGGAACTGTGCATTCAAATGGGAATATCTTTCCGTTTCTCCTTTGCTTTTACCTTCTCTTCATTTCACAGCTATTTGTAAGGCCTCCTCAGACAACCATTTTGCCTTTTTGCGTTTCTTTTTCTTGGGGATGGTGTTGATCCCCGTCTCCTGTACAATGTCATGAACCTCCGTCCATAGTTCATCAGGCTCTCTGTCTATCAGATCTAGTCCCTTAAATCTATTTCTCACTTCTACTGTATATTCATAAGGGATTTGATTTAGGTCATATCTGAATGGTCTAGTGGTTATCCCTACTCTCTTCAGTTTAAGTCTGAATTTGGCAGTAAGGAGTTCATGATCTGAGCCACAGTCAGCTCCTGGTCTTGCTTTTGCTGACTATATAGAGCTTCTCCATCTTTGACTGCAAAGAATATGATCAATCTAATTTTGGTGTTGACCATCTGGTGATGTCCATGTGTAGAGTCTTCTCTTGTGCTGTTGGAAGAGGGTGTTTGCTATGACCAGTGCATTCTCTTGGCAAAACTCTATTAGCCTTTGCCCTGCTTCATTCCGTACTCCAAGGCCAAATTTGCCTGTTACTTCAGGTGTTTCTTGACTTCCTACTTTTGCATTACAGTCGCCTATAATGAAAAGGACATCTTTTTTGGGTGTTAGTTCTAAAAGGTCTTGTAGGTCTTCATAGAACGGTTCAACTTCGGCTTCTTTAGTGTTACTGTTTGGGGCATAGGCTTGGATTACCGTGCTATTGAATGGTTTGCCTTGGGAACGAACAGAGATCATTCTGTCATTTTTGAGATTTCATCCAAGTACTGCATTTCAGACTCTCTTGTTGAATATGATGGGTACTCCATTTCTTCTAAGGGATTCCTGCCCACAGTAGTAGATATAATGGTCATCTGAGTTAAATTCACCCATTCCTCTCCATTTTAGTTCACTGATTCCTAGAATGTTGACATTCACTCTTGCCATCTCCTGTTTGACCACTTCCAATTTGCCTTAATTCATGGATCTAACATCCCAGGTTCCTATGCAGTATTGCTCTTTACAGCATTGGACCTTGCTTCTATCACTAGTCCCATCACAACTGGGTATTGTTTTTGTTTTGGCTCCATCCTTTCATTATTTCTGGAGTTATTTCTCCACTGATCTCCAGTAGCATATTGGGCACGTACTGACCTGGGGAGTTCATCTTTCAGTGTCCTATCTTTTTGCCTTTTCATACTGTTCATGGGGTTCTCAAGGCAAGAATACTGAAGTGGTTTGCCATTCCCTTCTCCAGCGGACCATATTCTGTCAGACCTCTCCACCATGACCCGACCGTCTTGGGTGCCCCCACATGGCATGGCTTAGTGTCACTGAGTTAGACACGACTGTGGTCCTGTGATCAGATTGGCTAGTTTTCTGTGATTGTGGTTTCAGTCTGTCTGCCCTCTGATGCCCTCTCGCAACACCTACTGTCTTACTTGGGTTTCTCTTACCTTGGACTTGGGGTATCTCTTCATGGCTTCTCCAGCAAAGCGCAGCCACTGCTGCTTACCTTGGATGAGGGGTATCTTCTCACGGCCACCCCTCCTGACCTTGAACGTGGAGTAGCTCCTCTTGGCCCTCCTGCGCCCGCGCAGCAGCCGCTCCTTGGAGGTGGGGTAGCTCCTCTCGGGCAGGGCCCTTGACCTCCAGGGTGGGGGTAGTTCCAATATATTGTCCAGATCCCTGGAATGCATTATATTATATTAAACCCATTTTATGACTTTTTCCTCCATTAGACTGTTAGTTCCTTCAAGCAAAGATCATGTCCTATTCATCATTGTAGTTAGTGTCTAGCAAGTGACTGGTGTATGCTGGAGGCTCATTGAATATTTGTTGAACTGAATTCAACTCATTGCTCTACATTTGAAGTCATAGTGAAGCTCCTGGATTAGTGGTTCCTGGATACCAGCCAACTGTATCAGAGACACCTGGGGACCATTTTATCAATAGAACATTTTATTGGTTTTTGGGCATTACTCTGTAAAGTATTATGATTCAGTAGATCTAGAATGAGGCCTGGGAATAAGTGTTTTTAAAAAGCTCCTCAACTGATTCCTGTTTGCTTACAGGTTTGAGGAATATTAAACTAGTTTATTACTGTATTATTCCATTGTATTTTATGTAAAAAATGTTGCTGCCTAGACCTTACATGTATACTCAGTCGCTCAGTTGTGTCTGACTCTTTGCAACTCTGTGAACTGTAGCATGCCAGGCTCCTCTGTCTGTGAATTTTTCCAGGCAAAACTACTGGAGTGAGTTGCCATTTCTTACTCCAGGGGATCTTCCTGATTCAGGGATCAAACCCATGTCTCCTGCATTGCAGGCAGATTCTTTACCACTGTGTCACATGGGAAACCCAAATCTTACATAGTAATTTATTATTGAGGGTTTATAAGTTGTATCTGCTAAAGGACATATTCTAAGTCACTTTTTCATACCTGTGTAGAAATATCTTAACTTTAAGCATCTCATTGTGAGACATATTAGCATTTTGTTAACACTGAACTGAAAAAAGCCACATTTTAAGCAGGAGTCTTCTTGAATTGGTAGTATTAATAATATTAGTTGGGCTTCATTCCATGAACTTAAGTATTTCTGGCAATTTGTATTTACTTTTCATTTTTTATTATAATTTTTCAAAATGATTTTTAAGCTCTTTATTATGATTTAAGAATTAAATTGAACAAATCTTAAGTGTATTGCTCAGTGAATTTTTACATATATACATACCATAAAGCAACAGGTCAACATATAAAACATTTCTAGCTCCTCAAAGTTTCCCCCATGTCAATAAACATACTTCCCACCATGAGATGGGTACTCTTGACTTAGATGACCATCAGCTAGTCTTATGTACCAGATTTTTTTAGTAGTTTTAATAATATCTTTTGGTGAATATATGCACTATGTCTCTTGAACTTATACATGGAATTGCTGAGCTAGAGACAGACTTGTGTTTAACTTCAGAAGGTAATGCCAGTTTACACTGTGATCTCAATCCATAATGGAAATTGAAATTAAATTACTTGAAGCTTATGGTGAAATTTGAATAGCCTAAAACTTCCCTTTGTTTTCCAAAGGGTTTTATATTGTCAAAAATATATGTACAAAGGAAATTCGTGTCATTTTATAGTTGCCAATAAGGTAGTTTTGTTTTAGTCAGATAATTTTTCCTATATAAGTTATTTTTTTCTTTTTCCCTTTCCTTAGGTTCATCTTCGCTTGTGGATTGGTAGGCAGTCATAGGGCTGCAGAATGGGTCTCCGGATTCACTTTGTTGTTGACCCACATGGTTGGTGCTGCATGGGTTTGATTGTCTTTGTCTGGTTATACAACTTTTTTTTAATTCCCAAAATTGTCCTCTTTCCTCACTATGAAGAAGGACATATTCCAGGCATATTAATAATAAGTAAGTTTCTAAATCTTTATTTTCTTGTATAATTAAAGATTTTTTTCTCATTGTGAATATTTTTGGAGTGTAATACCACTATAATAATTATTCAGTGCTATTAATATGAAATTAGTTACTCATTTTAAAAGAATGACCTTTATATATTTTGCAGGGTAAGGTAATTGGTATATTTTCATATCTAACTCTACAAAATCTACAAAAACCATTTTGTTTAAAGCTACACTGGCACAATAGTTCTATTTATGTAGGTGTGTGTGTATTTTTAATGTTTCTGTTATACAATTTAAATTTAGATAATTAAAGTACATGTATAAATGTATATAGTTTAAAGTGTTATTCATTGTAAAATTCAAAAGTTTCTAGATTCTTTATTTTCAAGTTAAGGATCTCAAGATCTATTGAAAAGAGCAGTTGAACATCACTAATCCAATGTAATTTTGAAGCTAGCCGGTTAGAGTTAATGAAAAAGTTTAATTGTATAGGTTTAAAAATGCTGCTTTGATTCTATCAAATATAGTATATGTAGTAATTAAAAGAATTCATTTCTGTTAATTAATATACCATTAATTTCTGTTCATAAAGAATCTGATTTACAAGTTTATCAATTGTTATGCAAAATAACTATTTAAAATTAGTATATTTTAGAAAGTCCTCTTGGCAGTATTATTTGATGAATGAAATGAGTTAATCATTTTTCCATCTTATCTCTGAGAATTTAGGCTGATGCTATTAATTAAAATATGCTTTTAGCCTTTAAATATGCTTGTCAAAAAACATTTTGAAGGGTAAATACTAATTTTATTTATTTGCTTATTTTCAAGTATTCTATGGCATTGCCATGTTTTGTCTGGTTGCTTTAGTGAGGGCCTCAATAACTGATCCAGGAAGACTCCCTGAGAACCCAAAGATCCCACATGGAGGTATGGTGCTCTTCACATTCATCACTTTTACTATGTCAGAATTACCATCTTTATTAATGTGTATTATTGCCTTTAGTATATTAATTACATATGTCATCTAAGCCACTTTCGTGTCTCTTAAGTGTTTTCTTTCCAGATTTCTCAATTTAAAACCACAAATCCCAGCTTACTCCTCGTATCTGCCATCTCTGGCTCTCCTTTTCAGTTTAGCTGTTTATTTGTCTCTCACTCCTTCCACTCTAGAGCTGTATAACCTCTGTGAGGGTGTAGATTTTTTGTTTTGTTTGCTTATTTGTTCAGTACTATAGCCTTAGGGCCTAAACAGTCTGTCACTTAGCAATAATTGCTGGGGTAAATAGTTATTGAATGATATTACCTGAAAAATTACATTCTTATTTAGCAGAGGAGTTTTTGATAGTGCCACTTACCTCATGATATTATAAATATAATATTGCTTACAATATATTTACAAATATTTACAAAATAAATATGTGTTTTATTATAATGCTATTGCTTGTTTTTCTCTAAGTTGGAACAATTCAGTGAAAAATTTGAAAGCCTTTTGTTCTAGTGTCAATGGAAGTAATTTTTGGTCACCTGATTGCATAGTAACCATTTAGTCACAGAAATAAATTTAAAATCTATTGCTTGCCAGATATAGTAAACCTCCCTTATCCTCTTTCCTGAGTTTTGCTTTTGAACATTTGCTGTGTAATCTTTGAGAACCCTGTACTTTCTTCTAGGAAGAAATTTGTATGTCTTTTCTATACATTATAGAACCAGAATATTTTTATAGTAATTCAGTAGTTTCTGAACTTGCTGTACATTAGAATCACCTAGGGAGCTTTGAAAAACCTCAATGTCCAAATCACATCCTATATTAATTAAATCGGAATGTCTGGGGGTGAGAGCCAGGTATCCATGCTTTTGAAAGATCCCAGGTGACTCAAATGTGTAGAAGTTTGGAAAGCAATGTAGTCGTTCTTTCCAAAATTAGAAGTGGCAAGTCACTTAGAGAGCCTCCTTTGAGTTTGTGATTGGTTTTTGAGATCCATGATTTTGAGGCTTAATGGACCTTGCACATTTAATGATTAAGTGGGAATGACACTGATATTTATGTAGCTGTAGAAATTTCTGAAAATAATCTTGAGTATTTAGTTTTTATTAATTTATAGAACAGTATCACTGTCACTTAACGGTTATTGTGTGTGTGTGTATGCCTGTGTTTGGGCAGGGAGGATGGCAGTCTGTAATTTGTATAGAATCTCTCTTCTCAACTAACCTAAAACAAAAGACCGTCTAAAATACTGATACATGTATTTTTCTACTTCAACTCTGAGACTTGATGTTCCCAGAAAATCAAGGAAGCAGGGTTTTCCTAACTCAGGACTCATTTCTGATGAAAACTTCAGTTTGCTGTGGTCAAATATTCAAATGCCTACATCTGTCAGATAGTACAAATCAAAGAAAGGGGCCAGGGAGGAACTATTTCATCTTGAAAATCTCCTATCTTATCTAAAGGAAGTGGCACCAATCAGCTACACTGAAATTGTCATGCAGGACGGGTATTTTAGATCTTGGAATTTTTGAAGAGAAAACACGGAATCTCAATTTTTATGAGACATTTTATGACTTAAAAAAATATTAGCAACTAATTCAAAATTTTGAAAGCCTTATTTTTAAATGAACACCAAACAGATTATACCTGAGGGCCAGATTGAATCCATCTGAAGCTGCTGTGTTACCTTAATTTTTAGGCTCCGGTGATGAGGATACCATGGCATCTTGCCACCCTTTTGGTTATCTGCATTATATCTGCTCTCATTGACATTTGGGCTGTTTTTCTTCAGTGGAGAGTTCCCCTTTGCCCAACCAAAAAGAAAAAAAAAAAAACCCACGCATTTATCACATTTTAAAGTCTCTAAAGTCTTTTGGGTAAATCAGGAGCATAGATTGTCCTTCACAGGTCATACAGTAGGTTGTTACAGAGTTGCTGTGAAGCCCAGGTCCTTGTCTCCATCATCTTTTTTACCATGAATCCTCTTACAGATGAATTATCTTACCCCTTTATTCATCTTTGCTTTGGTTTGAAGGAAATTAATTAAAGCTATCATGTGCCTTTTGCTCAGTTACTTGATAATTGTATAGATATAGTTTTAACTTAGTTAAAAAAAATAAAAATTTAATAGTGAAAAATGACTAAAGTGTTGGGTTCTACAAAATAGTGACCCTTATTCTGCATTGTTTTAAGGGTGAACAGTTTTATGTAATTGAACTCCTTAGAAATGGAAACTTAAACCTTAATGCTTTTATTATTTTAGCTACTTTAAAAAATTTTTACATGCCTTTCTGAAATATTTTACATGCCTTTCTGTTTTTTTAAACATAGTAACTTTAGTTTCTATATGACCCACCAAGTATGAGAAATTTGAATATAAGAGAATGCTTCTGTGTGAAGATCCCAAGAATTTGATTTTATAAACTTTGGGACATGTAGATGGAATAGTCAAATGAAACTATCAAATGTCTATTTAAATTACATGCATGTTTGAAATACAGAAATATTACTTTTTGTCATTTTTTAATTTTTTAAATATAAATTTATTTATTTTAATTGGAGGCTGATTACAACATTTTTGAATTTTATGAAATTATTTTATTCTGTCTCAACTTTTTAAAAACAACTTTGAGTGTAATTCACACATCATATGATTCACCTATTTAAAGTGTACAATTTAGTGTCTTTTATATATACACAGAGATGTACAACCATTACCACAAGCAATCTTAGAACATTTCATCATTAAGCTCTTCACTTGCATGTTAGACTTCTGTTTTTGTCATCACTAGTGCCACTTTGTTTTTATTTTTTTATTGTTGTATATACCCCCTATTGTACCTTGCATCCCTGAGGCTTGTTTATGTTATAGCTGAAAACTTGCACTTCTTAATCCCCTTCACTTAACTTTGCGCCCCTCCACCCCCTCCCTCTGGCAGCCACTAGTTTGTTCTTTGTTTCTTGAGTCTGTTTCTGTTTTGTTTCTTAGTTTATTTCTTGCATTGCCAACCAGTTCTGCCAGAAAACCTCTATTAAGACTCAGTCCTTGTATTGATTTTTGTTAGTTTCAAGTTACATTTTTCTCCCAAAAACATTACTTTGTGATCTGAAATATAGTCATTGAAAAAAGTCCCCCTAATATGTGAGTCTTTGAAAAGACTCAAATGGAAGGTGATTTGTTTCTTTTTGAGGGATAAACCAAACCAAACCGTATCTGGCTTTATAGTCTTTGATGCAGTTACAGCATTAAGTTTCCCTATTAAACAATATGATACTGTTTACCTTATATTAAAGAGGATCATTTATAGAGTTTACCTTTTATCTTTTGTTTTATGTTTTGACTTTTCTTTCCTTTAAAAAATGTTATCTTAATTTTTAACTTTCTATATAGCTGCCATAAATTAGCAGGTGGATTCTGTCTCCCACAGGCTTTTATTTTATTTTGTTAGATGGGTAGTGCAAAAGTCTTGTAGGTAATCATCAGACACCAGAATGTTATCAGTCACCAAGATACTATTAGGACTTGAATAAATCCTGAAGAAGGAAAAAGGGAGAAGACTAAGAAATGGTTTCTGGATACACAGGGTAGGTTAAGATGGATGGCTATTTTCTTGTTCTGCAAAGCAAAAACATAGATGATACTTTAAATGTCTGAATTTTAATAATAGTGATTTTTTTTTCCTTTCTTAAGACATAAATGTGTGTGTGCTTGTGTGTGAAAAATGTCCATCTTCATTTTAGATTTTTGTATCTTAAATTGAGCATTAAGTGACTCAAACTCTTTGTTTGAACAAATTTATGGTCCAGGCCATAGGTCAGCAAATTCTACTGTAGTGTTAGTGCCAGATAGATATTTTTTAGTTTTATGAACCATATGGTCTCTGTCACAACTCCTCCACTCTGTCGTGGTAGCCCCAAAGCCGCCATACACAGTATGTAAATGAATGGGCATGGCTGTGTTTAAATAAAGCTTTATTTATGGACATGAAATTTAAATTCCAAGATTTTTACATGCCACAAATTGTTATTGTTGTTATTATTTTCAATCATTTAAAATTGTTAAAAATACTCTTAGCTCACGTGTGCATGCTAAGTCGCTTCAGTTGTATCTGACTCTTTGTAGACTGTAGCCCTCAGGCTCCTTTGTCCATGGGATTCTCTAGGCAAGAGTGCTGGAGTGGGTTGTCATGCCCTTCCCCAGGGCATCTTTCTGACCCAGCCGTCTCTTATATCTCTTGCCTTAGGCAGGTGGGTTCTTTCCCACTAGCGCCACCTGGGAAGCTCCTGGATCACCTGAAAGCAGGTGATGGCCTGGGTTTGCCTGTGGACTGTAGTTTGCCAACCGTAGTTTACACCACAGAATGAATTACAGTCTTTCTCTGACTATAGCCAAATTCTGTCTTTTTTCCTGAGAGTACAGCATTTTAAGTATGAAATAAATGATTTATTCTTTGGACTATTTTATGCTGAAATTGCCAATAGTGAATACCCCATGTTTATTTTTTAAAGAAGCTGGTTTAAGAACATAGTTTTCGTGTTGTTTTTCAATGAAAATGGGCTCACCTTCACATATTCCTTGAAATATGTGAATTCAGAGTTAAACATTGGAATATTTGGGAACATCTAGTTAAGTGGGGAAAAAAAGTGATATGTATGTGACATTGTATTATGCTACATATGAAATGAGTTTCTATTTCACTAACAGTTAAATAACAGTAGTTTAATTGTACCTAAATTAAGCTTTATTATTGTTGCTCTCTCATGTAATATGTTTTCATTAAAATAAGAATTGTAAGAAATGAAAGATAATTTTATTTTAAAATGAAATATTTTAAATGTAAAAGATAATTTCTCAACTTTCATGTTATTGGAGCAATTAATTTGGTATAGCTGTAATTCATGCTTTATTGATTTCTTCAGAGATGTTTGTAGCAGAATGTTTTTCCAACACTTTACTATAAAATTCCAGTATATTGATCTTACTTCTGGTCATTAAACTAGAAATAATGGAAATAAAGTAGGGTATGTTTTTAAAAAATTGAAAACTACCTACTCTTCTCTTCTATTACTTATGCTTAGAATCTTTCATTTAAAAAAAATTAAACTTGTCATGTTTTAGCAAGGATTTAGTGACTACCTATGGTGTGCTCGGTCACACTTTGCATATACTAATATTCAGTTGGAGCATTGAAGTTAGGTTAATTTTACTATACCCATAATTTTAGTGAGGCTAGGGTTTAGTGAGGTTTTCCATAAGGATACAAAGTTTAAGAATTTTTATAGAGGTAAAATTCCATGTCAAGAAATATTAAGATTATATATCCTGCATAATAGTTGTCTTGATAGATGACGGTCCTATAGAGTTTTTAATGGCTCTAACTACAGCAGTTCTTAATGGAAATAAATTACTTTTTCCTTTATTCCTGTAAACTTCATGTTTTTAGCACAGAGCCTAGTCCTGTGCACTTTCACAACAGACTAGAGGAAACTGCTCCTTGGTAGTGGGATAGAGTTTTATAGAGGACTCCTTTATTTCCATTCAATAGTGATTTTCTTGTAATCTTCTTCACTTCTGAAACGATTTTAGTACCTCTTAATCGAATCTGAACTGTTTTTCCATCCCTCTGTCGTAAATATCCAAATAAATCCATTTAAAAAATGGTTTTGTGCGGAAAGTTTGGGGGGATGTCATCTCTGTTTATGCAGTTGATTTTTACTTTCTAGTCTATGAAACCAGTACTCAGCATTATCTCTTCTTTAGAACCATTAGATAATAAATTTCTAGAAATTAACTTGTTTCAATAAAATTCTGTTTTAATGTAATAATTTGCTTGTAAATTAAGAGTTTTGTCATTAAATTTTACTTACAGCAATATACTTAAACCCAAATATGTTGTTTTTTATCCCTTAGTTTGACTATTAACAGTCTTATTTTATAGTGTTTAAAATTAGAAACGTACAAAGTAAAACATGCAGAGAATAGAGAAGCAACGTTCACGGCAAATGTTTACAGTAGAGACTTAGGCACATATCTCGAAGAATTCCTATAAACTCTTCTAAACACTTGTTGCTAAATTTCACCATTACTCATTTTCCTTTACTAAATGAATTTTAATTTCCTTCTCTAGAAAGGGAGTTCTGGGAATTGTGTAACAAGTGTAATTTGATGAGACCGAAGCGTTCCCATCACTGCAGCCGCTGCGGCCACTGTGTTAGGAGAATGGATCATCACTGTCCATGGTAAGAAATGAATGATTCACTTTTTGAAAAAAGAACGTAGTAAAAAATAGATCTTAGTACTTAGCATATTTAAACAAAAAGGTTATATCAGAGTTAGACAGTTTAAGACACTCTTTTTATAAGGAGACCTTTCACTGATCATATGATTCTATCAACTCCCAGGGTCATTTTTCGAGATCATAGATTTTTCTAACAAGGAGATATTTGAGCAGAAAACCAAAAATTAACATGCACCCAAATATACAAAAGAACTAAAGTGGTTTTATTAAATGAGGCAGTGTAGGTAAAGCATTTAGTATAGTATAAGACATATAGAGAGTACTTAAATTTAAATATAGTAGCTGTTACTGTTTCTAACTGTAATGTAAACCATATACATCTCATTGTTTGTATTTCCCTTCCAATTTAATTAAGAGTAACATTTCAGATACTTTATACCTCTTTTCACTTCCTTTCAGCCTTTTTTTCAGTGTTATGTGTTGGATATAGGGATTAATATTACCTGCTAACTAGAAGCAAAAAAAAAACACTGATAGTTGATTTTGCTGAACTGCCAACATTTTTGGTCAGTAGGGGGCTCTCTTGTAATATTTAAAGAAAATGTTCAGTTGAGAAACGGAATTTTTGAAAACAAATGCTGTGCGAGTTCTGCATTGTATCTCATTTCAAAGCTGTCACAAAAATCTGTGAAAAGATATTGTATTTAATTCTGTTTTTCTAGCATGGGATCTCTGCATAAATATTTAAACTGGTATGGTGTAGTGCTTTATAAATATATCTATATACATGTATATTTATGTTTATACACACATGTACACAAAGTTAGCTACATAATTTCTTAAATTTATAACTGCATTTATCTGAGATGTCTCAAGGGTAGATTTTAGTTTTGTCTAGTAATGCTAATCATTTAGAGCTGCCTTTATTTTTGATACACAAGTTATCAGCAAGCTTTTAGTGGGAATTTGGTTTTCACTATAAAATGATTATTTGACTAGAAGATAATTTCCTGAGATTCAGAAAAAATAAGAGCACTGTGTTACTATGTAAAAGGTTTAAAATTCCATCACAGGATAGTTTAGTATATAACATACAGTTGGTGTTTTAAAAATGTGCCTGTAATTTATTCGGATTAATTCTCAAATGATTTTATAAACCTCAATGATCTATTTACAGTTACATATAGTAATAGGGTTTGCTTTTTAAAGCTGTGTAAAGCATGTATTCAGGTAAGTGATAATCACACTGAAAAACTCAATTTTATATAATTTTTGAGTAACATTTCTGATTAAAAATATAATAAATGTTTGTGATAGTTGGATATTGATATTTCCTTTTAAGTGAATGCAGTAATTTAAGCTTAAAAAATAATTGATATTTCCTTTTAAGTGAATGCAGTAATTTAAGCTTAAAAAATAATCAACTATTTTATAACTGTTTTATCTAGATTATATATAGATTATATAGATTAGTGATATTATTTATTTTCGAGGAATTAAGACTGACTTGGTGACCAAATAAAGTTCTTTTTAACCAAAATTCTAGGATTGGGGTGAGCTCTCTGCTCCCAGGCCTTCTGTTTCCACAGTTTTAGTCACCTTCTCAGGGCCCTGGTGAGAAGAGGAGTGGAAGGACAAAGAGCTGTGGACAGGAAAAGAGGGCCGATCAGGGGCATGAGTAGATACAGGGACGTAGGTGCTTGAATTCCCTAATGAAGCATTGCTGAGCTATTCGGAGAGTGAGGGAAATGTACAGTGTGAAGCAGAAGCAAGGAGAATTTTTGATATTTTCAGAAATTGCATTATCTTAACTGTTAAACAGCTTTAGATTTAGAGGTCAGTTCTCTTGATGACCTCAAGATTTAGTCTGTTTTTGACTCTGATCACTCTTTCTAAGGAATTCCTTACCAAAACAGTCTTTACATGTAGATGATAGTAGTGTTTCTTACAGTTCTGTTCTTAAGAAGAATGCAATGTTCATAGCAGTTGTATCTCAGATTTTGGGGGGGACAGAAAGGGTGGGGCAAAGATAAAGCATCTTTTAAGCAGTAGCTATTGGGGAGTGTTTTTGAGTGCATACAGAAGTACTCTTCCCTGGTAGCCCTGCTTAGATAACAAAACACAGGAAGTTTTCTTGTTTATTTAGCATGATTTCTTCAGTCTAAGAAATGCCTCTTTCAGGTTTCTGTTCAGTTATATATCTGCTTTTAAAAAATAGACAGCACATCTTTAATACAGTTTAAGTTAGGAATTTGGCCCTATTTATTATTTTTTCAAACAGTGGCAGTAAAATGCTATAATATGTTGAAATTAAAACATTGTGAAAGATAATTTGTAGTTTTGAACTAGGATTTTCTGCTGGAATTGTAAAGTATTTAGAAAATTTAGATACAATAACTTTGGAACAATAAAATATTCAGCTTGCTTTAATCTTGAATTTTTGGAATGCTAACATTAATCCTTTTTCCTAGTTTTTGGTTCATTGTTGTATTGGTGGAAATGTAGCTCTAAGAATTTATACGTACTTTTGAATATATGTTTATTTTCAGCCACCAAGGGTTACACTGTAAAAGTAAGAAAAATTGTGAATGCTTAGCAGTATGTCAGAATGGCAGGTTTGTTACTTTGCTTCACATCATTCAACTTGATCTCCACAGCTGGAATGCTGCAGTGAGAGAGCAGTGCACAGAAGAGGGTTCTTGCTCTCGTGACCACAGTCTTTCCTAACTGTATATCCTCTGGCAATTGTCCTAACTCCTCTGTTCCTGTTTTGTATCGGTGAAGCAAGGAGACTGCCATCTGTTCTTCCTGCCTCACTGGCTTGTTGTTGAGTTGAATGGGGAATCATATACAGGACTTCTTTGACAAGTAGAATGTGCTTTACAAATGTGAGGTGGCGTGTTTATGTCATATCTTTTCTTATGTACTCTTTGCTTTTAGGTTTGAGTGGGTTGGACTTACCTCTATGAACTTAAGCACTTAAGAAGTTGTTTGTGCTTATTTCTAGTTTTACCATCCTAAAATTAACATCTCATTAAAGTTTGAAATATTTTTTCTTTTTCCTTTTTTTTTCTTTAGGATTAACAATTGTGTTGGTGAAGATAACCATTGGCTTTTTCTGCAGTTGTGTTTCTACACTGAACTTCTTACTTGCTACGCACTGATGTTTTCTTTCTGCCACTATTATTACTTTCTTCCACTAAAAAAGCGTAATTTGGTAAGAAATGTTTATATCCGCTAATGTTAGAACAGCTGTAGTATATAGTTATTAACATGTGGTGCTTTTAAAAGTGTAGAAAATTGAGAACAAAAGTAATGAACATAAACCCTCAAATTGGTGCGTTTTAAAATGTATTGGAATTGAGAAAATGGACCTATTCTGACATTGCCTTTTAACCAAATCTATTTATGATTACTTGTTAGTGTCGAGTTCTTTAAAAAGTGACATATTAGATCTCTCAATATATAGATATTTTTGTTTTAAATCTACAGTAATGAAAAGCAAAGTGAAAAAGGTTAGCTTCTTATTTCTTTTCAGGAGTGAAGATAGACTTGTTTAATTCTTAAAAGTTCTCAAAGGAACATTAAGATCTTGAGAAAAGGATTCGTTCCCCCACACCCCAACTCCAACTTTTAACATTGGTGATAAGATGAATTTTCAGATGCTTTAAAAAGTTGTTGTTATATATCCATTTGAGGCAATGCTTTTCCCACTTTGTAGAGGAACTACAATATATGTTAATAAGATTTGCCCAGACGCTGGTGTTAAAGGTAGTAGTAGTAATAGCATCAACCGGGAGTTTTAAGTCTTGACTGTGTATCAGCACTGTGCTATGGACATGTGATTTTAATTCTCACTTAAATGCTCACCACAATCACATGAGGTGGACATGATTTTTCCTCCATTTTTTATAGATGAGGAAATAGACTAATAGAGGTTAAATAAGTAGTTACTGAAGGAACAAAGCTAGGAAGTGATTATTTAACTGGTTTTAGTTGTAGACTGGGATTTGAATCTGGGTTTGTGTTTTCTGAATCATATCTTTTGTGCTTTGTTTGTAGAACTTGTATTTCAGCCTGATCCTGTGTACCATTTTGACTTAGATTGTGTTTTTAGAATGCTCTGTGTATGTGTGTGTGTGTGAGAGAGAGAGAGACAGAGTATGTGTACTTACAGGAAGCAAGATAGGGAAGGAGACAGGAAGAGGAATAGAATTTCTGATGAAGAAGGGTGTTTTTTATTTCCTATTTAAGTCATTTTATACTCTTTAAACCTTTTCTTTTAAAAATAACAAGCTTAGTGATAGCACATACAAGTAAATTTTGTAATAATGGAACAGTTGAGAGAAGGTCTATGAGTTCTGTGTATTTAGATCTTTTTTGTACACATGATCATTTTGTATGATTAAAAGAGGATATTTACTGTTGTTGCTTGGTTGCATATATTAGTGGGCCTTGTCAAGGTAATTCTACATATTAAATGCAGAATGAGCAATTAAAATTAGATGCAAATAACTGAAAAAAGTTCAAGGGGGAGAACTGTAAATATAGGTGTTTGACATTTATCACACTGAGAATTTAGTGCATACTAATACTATAGTCTTAGAAATGTTTTATAGATGAATTTCTTTCTTATGCTTTCTTATATTTTGATTTTACTTTCTGATAAAACCAGGTACAAAAGAATGGTCACCCAAAGCATCAGAAGCCCTAAAACAACAGCAGTTAACATTTAAAGAATCATTTAGGGTTAGCAAAGTACTTTCTGCACGTGTCATTTCTTTTAATTCCCACACTATGTGAGGTGGCCAAGATGTGAGTGTGACTTTAAAGCCAGACTCGTTGGGTTTGAATCTCAATGATAGATTAATTTCTGATGTATTTGGTATTGTAGTTAGAACATGTAAAATGTTATATGTATTCTCCAAGTAATCTGTTTCAAATATTCAATAGATTGAGCCTAATAAGAAGATCTTTAAAATAAAAATGTACCTGTAAGATTAAGATCAGAATGTTTTAAGAATGGAGAGAGAGGTAGAATCTCATGGTATTAACGAAAAGCTAGTAGAGTTTCTCTAGGAGGGAGTGCAATGTGGCACTGTGGAGGGATTGGCACACTATGGGCATTGGGATAAATTTGACCCTCTACCTGTTTTTATTAATCAAGTTTTGTTTGAAACATAGCTACTCTCATTTGTTTATGTTTTGTCTGCAATTGCCTTTGTAATACAACAGCAGAGTTAAGTACCTCTGACAGAGGCATATGTCCTGAAAAGCCTAAAATATTAGGTATCGGGCTCTTTATCTTGCATTTACCAGCTTCTGGTAGTGGAAAGATCTTGATTTTATAAACAGACACACCTAGAATTAAGCCTGGCTTTTCTTATTGTGAGTATAAGCTTTGACACATCCTTTAACCTTTCTGAATTGTAATATCCACTTGAAGAATGTGAGTAGTAGTGAGATTTAATGAGATAGCACATGTAAAAGTTCTTGGTAGATAAGAGATTTTCAATTTATGTTACATTTGATTTTGGTGAAAGCTCTCAGAAGAAGGGAACAGGTTTTCTTTGCCCCTTTAATTTTTATGAACATTTAACAGACTGTTTAACAATGTTACCAGGAGATCGATGACAGAATAAAAAAGTTCCATCACTCAGATAAGAATATAATGATAATATTTAAGTGAAGGATTAAGACATTACAAATTATAAACTGATTTGTCTCTCCAAACGAAAGGTAGAAACTCTGGAAAAATTACTATCACTTAGAGGAAAGAGCACCTTTTTTTTAGTGGAAAAACTGATTATAGATGATACTAATATACTTAGAAAAATATATATAGACATGTATTTACATGCATAATGACAAAAGACTAGCAGCATAGTAAAGGTTTATTAAGAAATGTAAAATCCAGGATGAAAATATAAAAAGGCAGTACAAGTGGGTTTTAAAAATTCAAACCTGAGTTTCCTTAGAGCAATCACTTGTAGAAACAATACAGATAACTTTAAAATTCTTAAAAATCATAATTATTGTGAGTCAGTAGGATTACCAGATGAAAATCAAATAATTAACTCTATCATATTGGTTGTAATAAAGCTACTTTGGTAATAGTAAATTACAGATAGTTCTAGGGACCTGACAGAGTTTTTAGCTAGTAGTGCTGAGCAGGAATTGTTCAAGGTTTATAGTATCCTTGTTGTATTAAGTAGGATGTTTTTAAAATTACCTTCATGTTAGAGATAATGGAATTGAAACCCAAAGGGTTTATGTTATGATATTTCTGAGAGCATTTGGCATCCTATTGAGGAATCCATTGTGTTTTAGCCCTGTTTATGGTGTATTTTCTGAATGAAGTGATTCATAATATTTTTAAGTTAGGTATATGGAGAGGAGAATTTTGCCATAATGTTATCCAGTATAAGAAAAGACTATTTTGTTTGACTAATACTGTTTTTATATAGTATGTTTATCATTGTGTCTTTAACCTACTTAAACTCACTAGTGTGTTAGTCGCTCAGTCGTCTCCGACTCTGCGACCCCATGGACTGTAGCCTGCCACGCTCCTCTGTCCATGGGGCTTCCTAGGCAAGGATAGTGGAGTGAGTTGCCATTTCTTTCTCCAGGGTATTTTCCTGACCCAGGGGTTAAACTTTTCCTTCAGATCCTTGGAATATATAGCCCTAAATATTCCAAGGATCTGAAGGAAAATGAATGTTCAATGTACTTAGCACTCATTGAAATGAATTCTAATCATTTCATTGATTAAGATGTTGATAATTTAAAGCTATGTTTCCAGGTACATAGGGCTTCCCAGGTGGCACTAGTGGTCACGAACCCACCTGCCAATGCAGGAGACCTAAAAGACTCAGGTTCGATCCCTGGGTCTGGAAGATCCCCTGGAGAAGGGTGTGGCAACCCACTCCAGTCTTCTTGCCTGGAGACTCCCACGGACAGAGGAAACTGGTGGGCTACAGTCCTTTGGGTCGCAAAGAGTCATGACTGAAGTGACACACCAGGTGCATACAATCTTAGAATTCTAATATTGTTCTAATGAGTTTACTCTTGTATCATTATAAATTATACCCTTTTATCTGCAGTAATTATTCCTGCCTTGTAGTGTTTTCTGTTATTAATCTAACTATATTATTTTGGTTAGTATTTTCAACTTTTTACTTACAACCTTTATCAGTTGTCTTTGTGTCTTGTAGACACCAAATATTTCTCGTTTTTAAAGTCTAATTTGGTAATCTTTGTCTTCTAATTGAAATGGTCTATTTCATTTATTTTGACTAATATTAATCCTATCTTCCTACTATTTATTTTTTATTTCACCCCTCTGTTCTTTGTTTCCATTTTTCTCCTTTTCTATTTGCTTTGAAATTTTCAATTAAAAGAAATTTCTAACATATCCCTTCTGAGGCTTTTTCTCTTTTACTCTTTTAAAAATGGTTTTCCCAGAGGTCAAAACATTCTTCCTTGGTTTTCTGAAGTTTAATATAAATTGGTACTTTAAACATTACCAAGATAATAAATGGAGTAGCCTTAGAACCCCTCCTATCATCATCATTTTTGGTATTGTGGGGGCATAAAATAGATGTAGAAATAAAACTCATTATGATTATCATTTAATTTTCATTTACAAATTATGTGTTACAATGCATATGTTATATAAAGTCAGTATTTGTTTAGAGTTACCCACATATTGATGCTTTTTTTGATCCTGCATGACTTCATAAGTTTCTAAGCTGCTTTCTGAAAGTATTTTTTCCTGCCTTTTGGTGGAAGTGTACTGAAACAAATTTTGCCAGTTTTTGGTTCACCTGAAAATGTCTTTATTTCTCTTTCATTTTTGAATGGTTTATTTGCTTGGCATAGAATTATAGGTTTAGAGTTATTTTCAGGTTTTAAAAGATATTATTTCCTTGTCTCCTGGTTTCCATCATTTCTGTTGTAAAGTCAGTTGTTAGTTTTATAGTTCGTTCATTGAAGTAATGTGTCTTTCTCTCTAACTGCTTTTATGATTTAGTTATTTATATTATTTTGGCTTTGTTGAGGCATAATTAACATATACATTTATAAGATACTTAAATTGTGCATTACGATAATTTGATGTATGTATACACTTTGAAGGGCTTCCCTGGGGGCTCAGCTGGTAAAGAATCCACCTGCAATGCAGGAGACCTGGGTTTGATCCCTACTCAGGAAGATCCC